GGAATGGGCAGCAAGCATTCGTTTCCCGTCACTCTTGGACCTTCCAGGGACAGGAAAGCCAAGGAAAGAAATGGCAAAGAGGAAGGAAAAAAGCAAAACAGAGAAAGACCTTGTGCACCCTGCCTTACAGATGAGACCTGGCTGCTGGGGAGAGAGGATGCAGCTGGGTTAACACCTGACCCAGGACTGAGATATTTTGCTTTCCCTGCTGAGCTGGATAACATTGAGCCCACTTTAATGTCCTCCCCAGGGAACTCTGGTCATCCTCAGCTCAGGTTTTAATGTAGTGGGGAATAATCTTTCCCTCTCTGCAGCATGCTGAAGGCCATGTCCCTTCAACAGAAGATTGGGAATAGTACAGCTAGAAGATTTTGGAGGGCACAGTTGGGAATGTGGAGTGAAGGGGAGAGAAGCAAAGGTAGCGCTGGGAGGAGGCCAGTGACTACCCAGAAATGAGGTGCTCTGGACAGTTGAAAATGAAGAATGGGAGTCGTTGAGAATGAGGTGACAAACTGAGAGCAGGCAGGAGTGACCAGGACCCTGCGTTGAGGGGGACAGCAGGAAGCGGATGACTGGAGGATGATGGTTACACAGGGCAGCTGGCTGCAGGCAGCTGGAGAGAGAAGCCAGAGAAGGGGGAGGCTGTAGCAAAGTCACTGGCTGGGTGGGTGGATGAGGGAAAGTGAAGTGAAAGGAGGAAAAAGAGGAAGGAAAAGGACAAAACTGAGACTACCAGGGAGAACTAGATGAGAGGCTGAAGCAGCACTGAAAGGAAGCACAGGTAGCCCTAGGGGATGCCTGTCTGTTCTGACACAGTTCTGACTTCCAGCAAGGGATGGCCTGGGTTTGGAAGGTCATATTACTGTCAGGAAAATAGCCTTTACTCTTCTTTCATTCACCCCCTTTATCATTGCACCCCATGATTTTAGGCGCATCTCGCTGTTTGGCCCAGAAGGCAGACACAAGTCATCCTTTCCCACGCTTGGCTGTCGTTATCTTTTCTGCTGCACAACCATGATTTTCTCAATCTATGACTTAGTCCGGTTTTCTTTGGTATACTTTACTGGTAGGAGTTCATCAGTTTCTCACAAAGGAGGCACCCAAAATTTGTTTTAATATTTTGGCCCTGACCTCTTTGTTTTTAACTCTCTCCTTCACTAAAAGGCAACAAATGTTCATTTCCCTTTTGGAAGAACATTAAACCTTTTGAAGGAAAGCACAAGTACTGTTAACAGTTTCCTTATGCAGACAAGAAGCACGCAATGAGAAAGGTTGGCAGGATTTTCATTTACTGAAAACTACTTAACTCCAAGAGGAATTGTAGGAGCTTGGGAGTCTTCTGCATTTCTGAAGATGAGATTCTCAGAGAACTGTGTCAAGCCAGCAAAGATCTCTTGGTTTTAAAACTTGGACTAGAGCTCAAGAATTGCTGGCTTTTGTTTCTATACTAAGACCACTAAGATGTGCTTCTTGGATGATTAGATGAATTTTATGCAACCACATCCTGCTCTCTTTTGATAAATGCTTTTTTTATAAAGATCATGTGGAATAACTCACATGGAATTTATCTCCTTGTGGGCACATCCCCTATATAAGGTGCAAACATTAATACTCATCACAGATTTTGAAGAAGGAGGGTCCTTGCAGTAAACAGGCAGTGACATTTTCTCATGTTAAGCTCAGCTAACAGTTTCCTCATTCATCTCTTCCTTTTTCTTTTTTTAAACTTAAAATTATTGTTAAGAAAAAGCATCAGAGCACTGAGGGAAGAAATCAGTAGGTGCCAAAGTCAAGGAGATGTAATAAAGGGAGATAAAAGAAATGTTTAATGTAACTATTGCATAGGCACTTGCATGTATATATGTGATTTCTGCAATATAGTCTATAAGTGGCCACATCAAGAAGAGCATGACACAGATGTACCATATTCGCAGCTGACCTACGTAACTCGCGTATGCGAGTTTTTCAGTCAGATGTGTCCTTACGTCTTCAGACAACAACCAACATGTCAGTGGGCTGCTATACGAGAGCAGTCTGATTTGACCAATATGTAGGACTAAGACTTCTCTGGATAGATTTGAACGACTGTATCAATAATCAAAGACAACGATCTTTTTGCCTTTAATATTATGGACCAGATCTTCAGTCAGTGTAGGCCTGTGGAGGCAGTGGAGTGCCATGCTGGTATTTGGTGGTGCGTTCGCAGGTTAATTTCTGCTCGTGATGCACAAATGGTAAAACAGAATCAACCGTCCTCAGGGGCGGTTCACACCAAGAGGGGATTTTCAATCCTTGCTTGTCCCTCAGCTTATTATTTCTCTATCCCACACGTAAACGTTTGCCATCCTTAACAAAGTATCCCTAGGAGAACCTTTAAACACTTTAAAGTGCTTTGTTTCTTATTAAGCTACGAGATGATAGAAAGTGCTGCTGGCTCTGTCTGCTTATGACCCCCGCGTGAAACTCGGCACGTTTTTCCAACGTGGTGGCACATCTCTTTGCAGAGGAGCGGACAGGAAGCGCATGCCAAATCGTTCAGAAGGTTGTACAGAAACGATTCTCTTTTTCTACCAAGAACAAAAACAGCTAAGCTGGCAGGCTCCATCCTGCACCCTCTGACCGAGGGCTGAACCCCCCCCG